GAGGGAGAGAGAGAGAGAGAGAGGGAGGGAGGGAGGCAGAGGCGCAGAGAGGCATTTGTGGAAAGATTTAAGGAGCGATGTTTTAGTGGACACTGGATCGCCCTGCATGCGGCCACCACAAGTCTGTCTCTGGGGCATTGGGTCAGGTCAGTGTCTGCTGGATCCCGGTAGAGGTAACTGCGCGGAGACAGGTTCTCTTTGCTGCTGGCGCTGCCCACAGGGGAGCCTCATGTCTCTCTCTCTCTGCTTCACTTGTGCTGCAGACAGATATGCAAAGAGTTCACCGACCTGCTGGCTCAGGACCGATCTCCCCTGGGGAACTCGCGGCCCAACCCCATCCTGGAGCCCGGCATCCAGAGCTGCTTGACCCACTTCAACCTCATCTCCCACGGCTTCGGCAGCCCGGCGGTATGCGCCGCGGTCACGGCCCTGCAGAACTATCTCACCGAGGCCCTCAAGGCCATGGACAAAATGTACCTCAGCAACAACCCCAACAGCCACACGGACAACAGCGCCAAAAGCAGTGACAAAGAGGAGAAACACAGAAAGTGAGGCTCTCCACCCGCCCTGCCCCCTCCCAGGCCTCACCAGGTCTCCCGCCTTTCCTCCCCACCCCTCTGCCCGCCCACCCAACTCAGTCTCCACTCCACCAACCACCACCGGCAGGTGACAGCTCCGGGATCAGCAAACCCCTACTGCTGCTACTGCTGCTGCTGCTGCTGCTACTGCTGCCACCTTCAGTCCTCCAGTCTGGGAGTCTGGGGACTGCTCTCCACTGTCAGTGGGGCAGCCCCTGCCTCAACGTCCCTCATCAGCACCAACTCCCGTTTGCCCTCACGTGGAGCCTAAGAGAACAGGACAGGCCGTGAAGCCAGCAAAGAAAAGTTCTGTCCGAGTTTGTGAACCTTTTTTTTTTTTTTTAAATAACCCCTCCCACACCCCACAAATCAACAATGGCGACAAAAAAAATTTTAAACTTTTTTTCTAAAAAAAGAACATAAAAAAAAATTATATGAGCTTCATGGGACTGAATCACCACCTTCCCTTACACACTTCAGTTTAGATTGTAGCCATACTTAAAAAAAAAAGGCAAAAAGGATGACATTTCTATCAGTATTGTGAATAAACTTGAACACAAATACACGAAGTTCCATGTCATGTCTTCAGTTGTAGAAGTTTTTCCTCTTCAAGGTAAAGCGACCAACTTGAACTTTCTCGGGCAACACGATTCACAGTTATATAAGGGAATCAGTGTTCATGTCTCTGTATATATTTATTTATGTGTAATTTAATGGGAATTGTAAATATGGTGAGTCTGTTTTAAGCCTTTTTTTATTTATCTGGTGATCTCGTTTACCTCTTGTTTAGTGGGTTTTGAATCTTCCCTATTAGTTCTTCATGTGGTTCATGGTACTTATTTAGAAATTCAAGGTTTGGGGGATTTTTTTTTTCCTCTGGGATTCATGAATTTAGCCCTGTTGTAGCATGTTAAAGACAACAATGAAACAGCTGAACAAATAAAGAGTAAAATAAAATTTTATATACAATTAGTATTACATTTAGCTTTTCATTGAACTGGAAGAGAAATTGATATTGGATCCTGGAAAGATTTTTAAACTTGAATGGTTTGATAACTCTTCTATGTATTGTGGGGAGTAAAAAAAGTTAATTTTATTCCACTGTCCTCCCTTTAAAGCATAATTTGAGCAATAAATGAGTATTGTCCTTAAAACCAAGGGTTAGGGAATTTTCTTCTCTTTCTCTCTTTTTGTTCAAACAACTTCAGATATTTGGGACCACCTGGTATTCTGTATTTTCACTGGCCATTTTGGAAGCAGTTCTAGTTGTATTGTATTGAGTTGTGCTGGCAGTAGTTTCCAAGCCTGTCAATGTATCATAGTCCTTTGTTGCCCAGATAAATAAATATTTGATACGCTTTATGTCGATTTTTTTTTATTCAGTGGCTGTCTTTACCCAGGCGTATTTTTGTTCTTGGCAGTATTTTTTATTCAGTATGGTTACAGTAATTGAGTTTAACTCTCCCTTGGCAATTGCTCCTTGCAATAAGCAGCTGAACCCATTGTTTCCCTCAAGTATAATAAAAACTTACTTTCAACTTGGAGTTCAGAGCAGGGTATCATTTAGATATTCCACTGAGTCTGTATTCAGACAAATGACACAATAAAACCCAATGTATTCTTTTGGATAAAAGATTGTTTGTACTGCTAAAGGAATGACATACTATCTTTTCCTTACTAGAAACATTAATTTTATTATTAAAAATAAAGTTTTATTTTTATTTATGTTGATCCTTTAGGTTTTCATTTGTGTTTTGGAAACCAAAATATAAAACCTTCAGAACCAAACAAGGATGACAAGGAAGATGGAGAACAGAACAGAAGAGACCCTCTTCCCCCACCCCCCTTAACTACTGTGGAATCTGTCTCAGAGAATAACTGAAATTGAAGTTGTTAATTCATTAGCACAAAGGAAATACTACTTCAGTCTTCACTTGCTCACTCTGTCTTCTCAGTGGCTAAGACATGTAAATAAGCTGAAGCTAGCTCTAGTTTTCTGGGAAGAGAACAGGAATAGTAGCATAAATGTACGTGGGGGCAGACAGAGGGCAAATTGTCACCCATCTATTTTAATATTTTATTTAGAGATGAATTTACCACTGTGCTGTTCTTACTAGTTCTTGTGGTAGCAGAGGGGAGTGGGAAATTATGTTGATTTCCAGAATCTTTTCTGCCTGCCTCCTAAATGCCGACCCACCCCTTTGTATCACCATGGGGCTCCTCCTAGGACCTTTCAGAAACAGAAAACGTTCTCTGAGGTGGGGTGGAGAGAATGGGGGAGGGGGTCTGCAGACCTCTCCTATCTGTCTTCTACAATAACAGGACTTGGTGCTTAGCCCTTACAGAAGGAAGGACATCCTGTACATAAAAAATGGCGAATTCAGAGCTTGTGTAAACTGATTTGGAAAGTCTTTGCTTTGGAAGTGAGGAGGATTTCTAATGAATTTTTTTTTCAGAAGAAAATGGAGGTGGTTACCGGGAAGGTTTATAAGAAAGGTCATAGAAAAAGTGTCTAGGTACAGGTATAATCTCCTACATACTGGAGATGTAACATTTGTTCATCCGGTTTGACATTCCGAAGGACTAAGGAAGCAAAGCATTAGGCAGTGTCCATTTTGCAGCCTTTTGCTTTCTAATCTTCTTATGGAAGGCAGTGTAAAATCAATCCCAACAGATGAACGAGAGTTGGTGGAGTCTAAATTCTATTTTCCAAAGCCAGAGAATTCATAACAATGGTGGGTTTAAAATTTTTTTTTTCAAATGGAGTGTGTATCCTCAGAACGCAAGGCGACAATTGTTTTTTAAAGCGGTTATTTATTATTTCCTAGAGAGACTGGTTAAGTGTAACGTAGATGTAACAAAATAATGAGGCGAATGAACCCTAACTGTACATACTCTTGACAGAAATGAAATGCACACAGCATCGTAGCAGGTGAAGTGAAGCATTGTCTATCAGGGCTGTTTTTCTTGGCTGCATCTCAGATTGTGTGGGGGGATCCTAACCTCAGGCACAATAGCATTCATAAACAGCCATACATTGCTGCTCTTTCTCCAACGGCCCATAAATACTCATTTTAAAACGAAAACAATCTTATTAAATACCATTCATTCATATCTGGATTTACAGATGCTTGTTATGTTGGAAAACCTGAACCCAATATAATCCTTGCATCCTGAGAAAGATAGAAAGGAAATAGTGGGTTAGAACATTACAAGGTCATAATAAACAATGGTTTCCAAAGGCACAGAATTAGTTATTTTTATTCCGTAGTTGGACACTTTGAGGATCATGATATTGCCACTTCTTTTTCTTCTTCTTTTAAACAAAAAATTTAAAAGAAGTTATATATATTTTAAGGGGTGAGAGGAATACAGGGGTTAGTATTAAAATAAATTAATGGGACTAACCAAAGTCTGTATGGATTTTTTTTTTGCTTTCTCTGTTGCGACCAATGTGTATTTTCTAAATCACATTGATTAGTGATGATTACTGGACAGGTCACATGTTTATATACTAACAGCAAAGATTCTCTTTGGATTAACTCAAATTAGAATACATAGTTGAATTATAAGAATGGCTGCTAGGCTATGCTAATTACCACACCCAATTTTTATGGAAACACAATGCTCCTTCATTACCCCTTCTATTCTTCAACACCCTTTAAAAATTACAATCCAACCCTTTCCTCCCCAAAATCGAATATTAATATAATTTGAGTTCTTGATGGAACTACCATCAGGACTGCAATGCCCCGCAGCTGAAATAATATTTAAAATAGAAGGGATTTGACATTTGAGAAGTCAGTGGCTTGAAATACCCAGTTGTACTTAGCTAATTCAGTCCTTAACCTCTGGTTTCAAATAAATCAATTACAGTCGATTCCACTTCAGTTCAGAAGTGCACAGGGTTTTAGTTAATTGAATACATTTTATTCACTTCCTAGGAATATTCATTTATCAAAATTCCAAACTTAATATACATTTCTTTACAATGCAGTTTATGTTAAACTGCACAATCAGATCAAATTTGCCCTGGTTTTCCCCAAATCCTGCTTAAAATCTAAATTTCACCACTCTTTATTAAACAATGTCTCCCTATTCCTTTCTCAATCAAAAGTAAATTTATAGTAATTCCATGTCAGTCAGGAGAGTTGTTTTCCACCACAAAGAAAAAATCATATGTGGTCATCAGCCTTGCGTTAAGTTTAAATAGGTTAAGAACAGAGCTGGATTAATTAAGTTTTTAAAAGTATTGACCTGAAATTAAAAAAAAATATGCATGGTTTCCATTAGAGCTTAACTTTGCTGCAGCTGACAGGTATGACAGCTTTTTGTGGTCTTAAAGCCGCAGGCCCCTTTTCTTAACCCCATCTCTTCCTCTGCCTCCCCCCTCTGACTTTTGGAGAAGTGCTTGAATAAATAGTGAATTGTTAACTGAAAGCAGTATGGTTAAATGTGCACAAATGAAGTTGTGCTTTAAACAGATATTGATGTATGCAGTGTTTTATATTTATTGTTTGTAGCATCCTGCTGGCAGCAGTTTACTGTTTGGAAAGGAAAGGGGTTAATTAGCGTCATTATCAATCACTAATGCTTGCCTAACGTGTCCAAAGAATAATCAAGTTAGAGGACGGCATGAAGCCAACAGCTGCTTCATCCCAGTTACATATCTCCTCCTACGCCACTCAGTTATGGGGTAGGGGGAGTGGGGAGACAGGGAGGTGAAGTGAGGGGAAGACTCCTTATTGCTTGGGTAAAAGGGCCATAAAAATCAGGTCAACTCACTAGAGATCCAAGAGGCGGAAAGTATAACATAAATAACCAGAGTTTTCATTCTCTGAGTTACAGGTGCAGAGATGGCAGCGGTCCTGAGGCAAGAATACTAAAATTTGTTCTTTAATTTGCTTGATTATCCAAGTTGGGCATTTGAAGAAACACTTCCATATTTCCCTATCGTTTAGTGCTATACGACGGTAAAAAGAAATCTAAAGTGCATGGAGAGAGAAAAAGAAGAAAACCTCCACACACCACAGACAAACCCAAGTCAGCCCCAAATATCACCCAACCACCCATCTCAGAAAAGTGAATCCACAGAGCACAACAGGTGATAGCAGTTCTCACGCCTCTGCATCCTCTCTCAGGATGCTTAGGGATATTTTTTCCTTGTGAATTTCAATGAACAATACTTTTTTATATTAAACTTGGTTGCTGCACAGGTATACCATCTCAGCTTCCTATTGTTGCTACTACTCTCAGTGATACCGTTCTCTTTGTGACACACCGTGGGAGAGAAACTGAAGAAGTTTGACCCGTTATAGGTTCCTCTTAGAAGCTTGTCTTTAAAATCCTTATTTGTAAGTAACCGTGAATTAGAACTAAAGACCCCATTGATGATCAGAGTTTACTCAACTGCTTCTCCGAAGGCAGGGATGCATTAGTCCAAGGTAGAGTATTCATAAACAGAGAGCAGTTGTATGGTTGAACAAGACATTGATTTCTTTCTGTGAAAGCATAGCCCAAACTCATGTTTGCCCATGTGGACATAGGTGAGAAACATGCTCAATCAAATGGTGAACATACTAGTAAGTTAAGTCTCCACCCAAGGAAGTAAGTGGTATTTCCCTTCCAGGGAAGCAGGATAGCCATCTGAGTGAGAAGAGAGAAGAATGTTGGGATGGAAAACTGTGTGAGGCATGCATATGTAAAGTTTCTGTGTTTAAAAAATAGTATTCTGTTCCTTATGATCATAATTTAAAAGAGGAAAGGAGGGAATAAGAGATTTTAGGCTGAACCTGGTGTCTTATAACTAAACTTAAATATTATTCATGTGTAAAACTATTTTCTTTTCATCTTTGATATCTGAAAAAGATGGCACAGCACCAACTTTTATTTCACAGTGAGAAAGAGTAACACTTAGCATATTGCTGGAGAAATCTAGTTCGAGCAGAAGGAAGCTCAGGGAGATGACCTTTCTATAATGGATACC